GCAACTTGTCCACGTGCTGGGAGCTGAGAGGAGGCGTGGGTGTGGGGCTGTGTGATCTCGAGATCACAAGGGAGGGCGGTGGGGTCATGTCAGACAGGATGTGTGTGGGGGGTGTGACCATGAGCCCCTGGGCAGCGTCTGGCAGAGGCGGGCCGTGGCCACTGTGGGCTCCTCCCAGGGTGTGGGGCTCCTGGCTGCCTAAGCCACCCCAAATCAGCACCACTCGGCCGCCTCGCTCACCTCCTGATGAAACACACAGAAGCGATCCGCCTGGCCCGGGCCTTCCTGGAGCCAAACCCCACAGACCTAAGGCTTGGAGCCCTGGGGGCATCTGGCCACCTCCCACATGGTAGAGGAGCAGAATACCCCGAAGACGAGAACTGGGCCCAGCTTCCGCCTGGACCGCACTGTGGACCCCGGCCCATCCGGGCACAGAAGGAAGACTGAGAACATCTGGAGGAAGGTGCTTCAAAGGGGCCCTGATATGTGGGCGGGGGCAGCAGGGCCAGAGGGGAGCCGGCTACCTGGACCTGGGCTGGAGTGCTGGGATCAGCCTGGAGGGCAAGTCTAAGGGTGCTGGGTAAGTTTCAGGTTTGGGGGGCCATTCGCTGAGCAGGGGCAGGTGGACAGAACAGGTGGGTTTGGGAAAGTGAGTCTGAGAAGCCAAGTGGGGGTGCCGGGCAGAGGTTAGCGCGTGGGTCTGGGGCTCCGAGGTCTGGACAGGCTCACCCCCACGCACACGCACACACAGGCAGACACACAGCGTGCAAAGGCGCACGAGCACTCTGAGTCCCTATAGACCCCCGCTGCTCACATCACAAAGGTCTGCACCTTGTACAAATGTGCACACATCACAGCCGTTCCCTTCCCGCCTGGAGTCCCTGCCCCCCACCTGCCAGGCGGGGGGACACGGCGGTCACCGTCCCCAGCCCAGTGCGTGGCCCCTCGCTGGGGGTTCCTCCTGGGGGGCTGCAGATACTCACTCTCCCCGGTCATCACGCCCTGGGTGTATCTCTTGGGCAGCATCCCCGTGTACCCATAGAAGCTGGATTGCTGCACTTGGGGGGAGAGACAGAGGAGTGACCGTGAGATGCCACCATCACCTGGCCTGGTGGCGGAGGGATTGGGTCCACCCACCCTGCCCACCAAACAGCATGTGCCAGGGGCCACGCTCTGTGACTAGTTCTGGCCAATGAAACATGAGCAGAAACAACATGCATACTTCTGGCCGAGGTGGAGAAAAGCCCCCATGGCCTTCTGGGGTTTCCCCCAGCGGCAGTGACCGAAGGGGCCCCGTGTGACAGATGGGGACCGCTGTGGCCTGGCTCCCAGCGACAGTGTGGAGCATTGCCTCCGGCCTCGTGTTGGACACCCATCGAGAGCCAGAAATAGTGGTTTCAGTTCTATGAAGCCACTGAGATTTCTGGGCCAGCTGGTTACCAGAGCCTCCCTGCTCTCATCCTAACCAACACGGGCAGAAATTCAGCAGGATCCAGGGCGGGAAAGATGCCTGGGCTCGGACCCTGCAGGTTGGCGAATCTGTGGCCTACATGGACACCCCGGGGCAGTCACACTAGGAAAAGTAGGATCTCCTACTCCTTCCCGGCGTTTGCTTTTTAACAAAATAGAACAGAACAAAACAGACCCGAGGACACTATTTCCTGGAGCCCTGATTTCACGGATCAACACACACGTTCACGCAAATGTGTTCACTGGCTCATGGCGTGCCATGTTTCTCTTTCCGCTCAAAAAGAGTGTGAAAAAGTACAAAGCAACCGGCCTGGTCCTTTCCAAACGTCGCTGCCATGGAAGAGGAAAGCTGAGGACCACGCAGGACTAAAGGGGATTAAAGACGTGACAGCGGACACAGGGCGTGATCCTGGATCGGATCCTGGGTCAGGAACAGAACGCTATAAAGGACGTTATCGAGGCGACTGGTGAAGTGCGGACACGGGTCACAGAGAACAGCGCTGTGCGGTGTTACGCTTCCTGACTCGGGCAGCCGTACCACCGCGATAGAAGAAACGTCCTGCCTTCTAGAAAATACACCCTCGAACCCAAATGGTTTGAGGCGAAAACACAGACTATTTTATATTTACACGTATTCAGGGGCGAAACATATACGTATCTATACGGGGGACAGAGAGAAAGCCTACGTGACAAAATGTCAGCCATCGGCGAGCCGACGTGAAGGGTCTACGGGAGTTCCTTGCGCTAGTCCTGTAAGCTTTCTATAGGTTTGAAATAGTTTCAAAATAAAAAGTTAAAAAGATAACTTAGAAAGCCACGGCCCAAGAGGAACACGGTGGCGTGGGCAGATGGTTCTCGAAGCGCAGTTCATGCGTGGGACGACCACGGGACCGCCTCAACGCCCACACGGCATGCAGTGGGTGCTCGGTGCGCACGACACTGTGGATGTGCAGTGTGCGCTTGTGGGTGGCGTGCAGGTGCGGTGTGCGGGCACGTTTTTGTGTAGGATGTGCCAGTGGACGCAGGAGGCCCTGGGGGTGTGCGCTCACGGTGAGCGAGCATGCGTGGGGGGCACGCACGTGGCTACGTCCTGGCACCGAGCCCTCGTCACCCCGTGTGGGGCGCCCCCAGCAGGCGGCGGGACCGGGGTGGGACGGCCCGCACTGGGTACTCACTCAGAGGCTCGGCGCCAAGCCCCCCAGCCCCGCCCGCGCCCCGGCTCAGGCTCCTACCTGTGCAGCCTAAGGCCACGGTGCCTACAGCGGCCAGGTTGATGGCGTAAGCCTGGTCACGAGAGAAGAGCTGTAGCCAGACGTCACAGATGCTGATAAAGAGGAGGGGGCCCAAGGCCAAGAGGTAGCCTAGGGGAGAGGCCAGAGAGGGGGGCAGCGAGCAGTGGGCCGGGGGCTCCCCTCGTCCCACCCTTCCTGTAGAGCCCGGTCAGAGGTGCCCCCTCTGTCTGCCTTTCTCCTTAATACTGGGAGGGCCGGGGACACTTTGGGAGTGCCTGGAAGGCTTCCTGGAGGAGGCACCATTTGAGCTGGGCCTTGAAACTGGATGTCGTCACGAAGAGGAAGGGGACAGGAAGAGCAGACGGGGCCCCAGGACAAAATGTGGGGGTGCCCAAAGGCCTTGACCCTATTTTCGCTCACTGAACCCTGTAACGTTCCTAGGAGGCGTGCCCGTCCTACACAAGGGGAGACTGAGGCGCCGGGAACCTGGGGAGGTGAGTGGCAGGCCAGGTGTGCGGGCAGCGTACCCGCGGTGATCCTCGTGTGCAGGCTCAGTCTCTCCACCAGCGCGTTGTTCAGGAGCACGGCCACCAGCGCCACGAGGATGTAGGTGAGGCTCATGTCGAACACGATGGAGGTCCCTGCGGGGGGCCGGCAGCAGGCGCTCAGGGGGAGCCCCCTCTCCGCACCCAGCCCCGCCAGGCGCTGCTTCCTCGCCCCGCCCCAAAGCGGCTGCCACCCAGGGAGGGGCGTGGCTGCCCCGAGTCCCTCAGCGGCTTGCGGCTGAATAAGGCGGGCTCCCTGAGCGGGTTCGGGAGGGTGGCGGCCAGCCTGGGGCGGTGGCGCGGCCACGGGGGGCCCACCTGGGTACTTGTGGTGCAGATAGTCCACGTCGGTGATGAAGCTGTTGTATGGCAGCAGGAAGCCCACACCGGCCAGCAGCATCGCGAAGTAGATGGCGTGGTAGCGGTCATCAGTCACTGGCTCCTCGACCGCTGAACCCAGAGGCAGCAGGTGAGAGGGGGACGGACCCCTCGCAGCCACGGCCACGGTGCCAGGACCAGAGTCTAGCGTAGCGCCGCCATCCCCACAACCGCCACGGTCACCGCCACCCTATCCACCGGCATCGCGGCAAGCACCCACGGCCAGCGCCGTCGCGGCCACAGGCAGCCGGCTCCACGGAGCCGTGGATGGCCGTGCGAAGACAGCTGAGGCGAAACGCTGGGGAGGCTGCCCATGCTCCAAGGCGCTGAGCTCCCCCGTCGGCACTCCTGCGTCCAGGGAGCGCGCACGTGGCCGTGGGAGTGGCCGTGGGACCAGCCCCTATGACCTTCAGAGACCCGCCAGCAACGCGGCCACTGGCCCGAAGGGAGGGTCCAGGCTCCCAAGGGAGAAACGCCTCTACCCGGACACACGACAGTCCCATCGACCGGCCACTGGCCACACTGGGCTCCTCCTGAACCAACAGGCAGAGAAGAGGGTGGCCGTCCTGGCTGGGGCGGTTCACCCTGACTACCAGGGGCTTATCAGGGATGGAACAGAATAGGAGTATCCCCGCAGTGCAAGAGGCTCCTCACGGCATCTCCTACGACTTCCACTCCCCGGGGCTGAAGTCAACGGAAAACGGTAACGATCCGATCTTAACCTTTAGAAATGAAGGCCTGGGTCGCTCCACCAGGCAAAGCAGCATGACCAGCTGAGTAGCTGAGGGCAAAAGGCGAGGACTGGGCAGTGGAGAAAGGGGGTTATAAACACCAGCCACGGCCACGTGACCCCTTCAGACCCGAGGAAGGCCCGTTTTTGTGGGTATTTATCCCTTACCTCGATAGGAATGTTTTCGTGTATGCGTATTAACTCAAAGCTTGGGTTTTGTGCCCTTTATCACCTCATCGTCTAACAGAGGATGCGCCTGTGTTAAATCTCAGGATTTAAATCATGGGCTGTCAGAGGAGAGGTGCGACCGAGGCATGCCAGGCTTTGCATCTTCCGGGGAAAGCGTCAGCGTTGTTTTCGGTTGTAAAGGGGTGGCATGACTCTGTCAGTGTCTTTATTTGGAGATTAAGTGTGGTTATGGAGCTGTGTTTGGGAGCCAAGCCGGGCAAGGGGTGGACTGTGATGGGTCAGTTTTACGGGTCCACTTGGCAGGCTGAACTAATCCGCTGTTGTTCAATCAGACACTGACTGAGCTGCTGCTGGGCAGGAATTTTGTGGATTAAAGTCCCTCCTCAGTGGCCTCTAAGTTAATCAAAAGGAAATTGCCCTGGATGGGCCTGACCTAATCAGGCAAGACATTTAGGTCTTCCCAGACCTGAGACCCTAAACAGCGCAGGACTTCAGACTTCCTTATGGACTTCAGACCACCTTAGCCAGGCTCCACTGTAGTTGGTTGTGTTCTGAAATAAATCTATATGCGTGTGCGTGTATACCTACATACATATATATATATATATATCTACACCTGCATCATATCGACAACACTGTCTACCATCTGTCTAGCTTATCTCCTACTGGGCTCTGTTTCTTGGCTGAACCCTGAGTGACCCAGCCACCATCACCAAGGCCACTATAGTTAAAACCACCACTGCCATGGCCACCATCCACTTCTGTGGCCACGGTTGCCAGGGCTACACGCTATCTCGTGCCATGCCTGGCCAGGGGATGCCTGGCACCTTGGGGATGGGCCCAGAGCTGGCTCCGCCTAGGCACGGGGGAGCAACCCATTGCAGGGCTTGGCCAGTAGGACTTGTGCTTCCCATGTGCAGAGACAGGGGGCGGAACCAGAGAATAAGCCCCCCTCCTTCCGAGCCTGGAGTGGTGCGAGCATAAACTACAGGCACCCCAAAGTGAACTATCACAGGGGCCTCCCGAGCGCAGAGACAGCCCTAAGCCATGTTTTGGGGCTTTTGCTGCAGCCACATTGAGTGTGGCTCCTGGACTGTTCCCTTTTCACAGAGGACATAACCAAAGCCCGGACAATGGTAACTTGCCCAAGGTCCCCAAGCTGGCAGAGGGATGGGGCTGAACCCAAACCTGTCCAACATCAGCCCCGCACACAGCCCTCTACCCAGCAAGTCTGGTTGCAAAGGCAACTGGCCATTTCCTCGAGGTGAGGGGACCGAGGCTAAGAGAGGTTTAGGCCCTTGTCCAAGGTCACACAGCCAGGACAAAAATCAAGTCTTCGCGCCTCACATCGGTCCTCCCTTCAGGCACTTGCCCATCTCCACTGAAGGGAGGCCAGCGAAGGTGACCAAAGCGACAACAGGTCACCTCCAGACGGAAGCTCTACGGGGCAGCGCATGATTCCCCGGGCGCCCTCCCACCCGCCCGGTGGACCAGATGAGGCTCCGTGACCCGCCCCGGACACATGGCATCAGCGAAAGGTCCCTGAGACAGCGGCTCGATCGTCCCCACGGCAGATCCCTCCTGACGGACGCAGCGCCCTGCACTCGGGGACCACCCAAGGCTCCCCGAGGGTTCCCACAGCCCATCCCGGCTCGGGGCCAGACACGCACCTGGGTCCTCCCCCGCCAACTCACCAGAGTCCGTGAAACCTGGAACTCCCCTGGTTGCGCCGCCCTGGCCCTGAGCCGTCCCCGCCGCTTCCTCCTCGAGCCGACAGCCGTCGAAGCTGAAGCTCATCACCATGCTGCTGTCCGGCGTGCCCGCCGTGATGGGCTCCTTGAGGCGCTGGCTGCCCACGGAGCCCATGGTAGGCCGTGCTGCGGAGAGAGGAGAGGAGGCGGGCTGAGGGAGCGCGGGGGGCCCCCCCGGCCACTGTCCTGGCCCCAGGGGCTTTGCAACCGACGTTATGGAACGGTGTGTACGCCCGCACTGTGCTCAGGGTCCCATGCACCATTTCCCTCTGGGAGGAGGCGCCTGAACTCACTCACTTTACTGGCGGGGAGGCCAAGCGAGCCTAGAGGGTGCCACTCCCCCCACCCCCCATCTCACAGACAGTAAGGGGGGCCGTCCCGACCCAAACCCAGGCCCGTGGGACACTCCGAAGCACCATGGCCTTCCATTCTGGGGCCCACCACCTTCCAGGCTGGGAAGTCCTTCCTTTGGTCTTGCCTCAGTTTCTCTTGCTTCAATTCAAGTCTACTACCTTTACCTTTAAAAGAAAGGAAGAAGCTAATTTATCCATGATGGAGAAATACCCCCACTGTGGCGTGGGGATGGGGGGAGTCTTGTTTTTTTCCCCTAAAAGGGTTATCCATTTTTCTTTTTAAGATTTTATTTTTTTAAAGCAATCTGTACACCCAGCATGGGGCTCGAGCTCACAACCCTGAGATTGCACGTTCCAGCAACTGAACCAGTCAGGCGCCCCATCAATTTGTTTTTCTAACGATTTTTATTCATTTATCTCATTGCAGCTCCTCGCGGAGAATCTGAGACACAGGCAGGACACTAGAGCATCGGGCACTGAGCGTGGCACCTAGACCCACCCATGAGCTTGTGCGGGAGCCCATGGAAGAGGCCAGGAGAAGGCCCATTTCCCGAGGGATCTCATGTGCCCAGGACTACTCCAGTCGTCTCTGCGGCCGGCCTGTCACCGCCCCTCCACCTCTGCCTGCTCATGCTTTGTCTCATTTCCTCCCGCTCTCCTGCCTCAGTTTACCCGCTCCCAGCCTCCAGACCTGATGCGCTGTTACCGAGCGCCTCCTGCTGGCCCCGTGTATCCATCTTTCCTACTTTGCACAGAGTTTTTACTGGGGCCTTGGAGCCCGGAGCCGTCCTGCTTCAAGGCCGCCCCAGTCCCCTCCCACAAGCATGGAGAACAGGGTTGGGGGTTCTCTGTCTGGGGGCTGGGAAGCAGGCGTAACCCCCCTGCAGGCTCAGTGCCTTTCCTGAGTGTCCCCCAGCCTGGGCCTCCTGCCACATCTGGAGCTGGGGGGTCCAGGTGGGATTTAGGACAGAGCTGGGCCTGGTTTGGATGACCGTGGCCTTGCTCGGTGGCCTGGGGCAGGATCCCACACAGGAGGCTCAGAGACCCCGGGCCCCGCCCTCTCGGCCTCCCCGGGGCAGACAGGAAGGCTGGGGAAGGGGCCAGGGGCAGAGCAGTGGTCTACAACAATGGAACGCTCCTCCCTGCCACCCACTCCAGCCCTGCCCTGGAGGACGCCCGAACCCCGAACTCCTGACCGGTCTTCCGCAAAGCTTCCCAAGACGCAGTGCCCTGGCCACGCCTGGCCGCGCCACCCGGAAGGCGGACGTGCTCAGCATCGAGCCAGGAGGCGGCCCCACTGCTCCCTCTGGCTCATCGGTGAGGCAGGCAGGTGCCACCCACAATGCGAGCCCCGCCACTGTCCCCATGTGCTGCTCCAGGGCCCTTCTGTGGGCAGGGGGCTCTGGCTTCCCCTGCGGCGGCCCCAGGCCCCTCGGCACGACCTCACTGGTGGCAGAGTTGGGGGGTGCATGAGGTGGCTCGCTCCACCTCTCCTGGCCTAGGCCAACTCGCTCCTCCCCAGACCCCTCAGACTCCACACCAACAGCTGGAGCCTCAGATCGTCCCCCAATCCACTCCTCCTCCTCTCATGTTCCTCTTTAGTTCAAATCTAAGGACACACACATGAGTTTAAAAAATCCAAGAGTGCACGGGCTCCCCCCAGCCTGCCAGGACCCCTCAATGTCCACCCCTGGGGCGTAGCAGAGAAGACACAGTTCATGTCTTTGGCCAACAGATCACCAGTCACTGCCTCAGTGGGCCACCCCTGGGCCTCAGTTTCCCTCCCTCTCTGTTGTGGACAAGGAGGGTGAGAAAGTACTTCACATATCGGGGGAGGGGGTGGCTGGGTGGCCGAAGGCCTGGCTGCACACAGGAGGTGCTCAGAAGTCACACACGCCGCTGCTTCGGGCACTGCTGTGGGCCTGAGGGGGCTCCTAACCCCAGCAATCCTGAAAGCCCGGTTCACAGGCCCCCACTTTGCACATAGAGCCAAGGCCAGAGGTCACACAGCTTGGCATTAGAGTCCCAGCCGGATCGAGCGCCTTTGGCACCCCCATTTCAACTGTGACTGAGTGGACACTGCTTCTGAATGTGCTCCCGAGGCCAGGCTGACCCCTCCCCTTCGGGGCTGTGCTCTGCCTCTACAGTGTGTCCCCCCAGAGGGGACAAGGAACCTGAATTCTATTTGGAAAGCCAGTCTGCTGGCTGTCTTCAGGCCTCACACTCATCGTGGGCCACAAGCCCCAGCCATCTGGATACCCCTGGATGTCCCTGGCCCCCGGTACCTAGGCCTACTGAGTTCTCTACTGCTCCACAGCCGAGCCCAGACATTGCCCCGACTCCTCCCTGCTGGTTCTGCCCACAGAAAAGGGGGTTTCAAGGCGCCCGGCCGCCCCCTTCCTGCAGTTCCCGTTGGAGAGGTGGATGCACTGGCCTCAGGCGCTGGCTGGCGGCTCCCACAGCCCAGAGCCACCCCTTCCTCCCTGGCCTTGGTTTCTGGGGGTCCCAGGGCTGGCAGCACTCTGCATCCCCCAGGCTCCTTCCGCCTGCCCCGCTCTATCAGCAACAAAGTTGGTTCCCAGGCCTCTGCCCCTAGGCAAACGACAGACTCCCCAGGCCACCACGAGGTGACCCCTGGACACAGGCCCTGCCTCTTACAGCAGCTTTTCCAAGAGCTAGGAGGGAGCTGGCTGGGGGATGAGGTGAGATGGGGCAGAGGGGGTCCAGGGAAGAACTTCAGGTGGAAGGACCCTTTGGGCATGCCTAGGGAGGGAGGTGGCTCCCAGACCTGGGCATGGCCTGAGGCCACTGGCCACTCTCCTGGGTCTGGGTCCTGTCCTCGCAGATGGGCTGATGGTGGGGGGGGCTGGCCCGGTCCAGATGCTGGACCTCTTCCCAGGACAAGGGTGGGGTGGGGTGGGAGATTCGGGGTCCCCAGAGCCATGTGCCTCCGCCCCTGGACTCAGCTGCCCCGAGCCGGCGCGGAGGGGGAGGGAGCGCGGAGTGGGGCCGCGCGCGCCGCAGACAAAGGCTCCGACAGGTCTCCGCGCTCCAGCCCATCCCCGTCCCTGTCCCCGCCCGCCACCTCCGCGGTGACCGCTTACCTCTGCACGGCCGGGCCCCGGGGTCCTCGGCGCGCCCGGCCCAGC